ATCATCATAATATACACTGTGTGTGTGTGTGTGTGTGTGTGTGTGTGTGTGTGTGTGTGTGTGTATGCACATGTATGCACATGCCCGGCTGAGAGTGAATGTGCACGGCAGCCCTGCCAGACCCCGCTGCTCAGTGTGATGTAAATTGTGTATGTGTAAAAAGCACTCCATAATCAGGCCATCCATCATCAGAGGCTGTCAGTGGGCTCTCTCAGGGTGATACATCACGCTCTCCTGTCCTCTGCCTCAGCTGGGGCCTACACAACCCGCCAGGCATGCTGGGAACACAGCCGGAGAGACGTACAGTACAGGACGAGCCCTAGGTTAGGAGAGGTGTTCTGTTTGATGTGCCTTTCCAATGATAATGATGCCCCCACTGTACAAGCGGACCTGAGAATGATGATGTGTGGAGGGTATAGTATCCTTTCCTATCCTGTAGTTTAGACTTTATACACAGTACTAAATGCTTACATATGGAGGAATTTACATCCACATTTACATTTAAAACATGGCTCAATGTTCTGCAGTCGCAGTCCGAGCGTCAGGCATGATCTCCACATGTCGACATGTCGCCATCTCATCTATCATGGAGATGATCTTTGTAACAACCCCGGCGTAATGAAATTGGTGACACAGGCCGCCATCTGCTATTGATTTCATGCAAATGCTTTTGACAGCTGATGGAGACTTGCATTAGCGCTAAACGGTGCTGTCAGTTGATGAGTTGACAGTTCTGTAGTCATACCATGTACACTGGTGCAGACAGACACAGACAATGTCAATAATCCTGTAAGAGCTGCTGATGATATATACTGAGCACTTATATTCAATCTGGACAATAAATGTGTTATGTGTGTATTCATCGCATCGCTCCGCACATTTTTTCTTCCAGGCAAAGATTTTCTTTCATCTGCTGAGCTTTCAGAAGAGTCATTGGGGCTGCTCTTCCTACTTTTTCTTACACCACACACATTGACAGTAGCCACCCCCCCCCCCCCCCTTTAGCTGTCCCCTCTCCACCCTATGTCTTTTTTTTTTTTAATCCTTGGCACATCATTATGTTCCGGCTTCACACTCTGTCGTAAACTTTACTCTCTTCTAAAGATATAAGCGGCAAATCTAGCTGCTCCGAGATGCCCTTGCATGCCAGAATTAGTTTGGCCCTCGCCGTCCTTCCAGCACAATATGGTGAACGAAGGGTGGGGTGAGGGTGTGGAAGAAGTGTGTGTGTGTGTGTGTGTCCCCCTCTTACCCCTTCTGCTAAGGGTCTCAGTCGCTGCAAGGAAACATGAAACCCTCCACACACATCCCATAAATCCTGCCCTGGGTGGGGAGTCTAGCCGAAGGGGAGGAGGGACCGATGAAGGTAGGGGGGAGCTATGATAGGGGTTGGTGTAGAGGGGGGGGTCGCTGGCACGTTCCAGTCACGCCCGCTTCCCGGCTCGCGGCCAATCAATACCACTTTCCTGTTTTAGAGGCGGGTAATTATGAGGTGGAGAGATTGTGTGAACTCTCACCCCTGCTGCATTACTCGCCTGATATTAAGATAAATTGCCTGATTTTGGGTAAACATATGCTGCAATTCAAACTGTCAGCACTGGTTTGCTCAGGGATAATTTGTATTGATCTCCTGGCTTCTTCCCCATTTTGCTTACTGACCTCATGGATAATTAGAGAAAAAGAGACACGGGGAGCTAAGGCAGGGCTTGCATTTGAATACTTTGCAGGAGAGATGAAGAGCACATGGGAAGGGGGGCCGAGGGAGCATTATGGACTAATAGAATTTTCATTTTCTCTCATTTTCTTTGCAGATTTAGACAGGTTGCATGCTTTGTTCAATTACAACGCGTATATCTTGTTCCCTGCCTGCGCTGCATATGCAGACCTATATTTGTTCATAGATCTGTTTCCATGGTTTTAGTTCAGAAATGATTACAATTTAACAAAAGCAATAAGACAGCAAAGTGACAGCAAATACGTTTTAAATTGAACAACTGGTAACTAAAAGAGATATTGTAAAGGAATATGGCAACTCATTTCCATAAAAAAAGGAAACTTGCTCCTTCCTCACACAGGTTTAGAATATGTTTTTATGAATATTTCAGTAAATGTCTCACTCTAGAGAGTAAATGATCATGTTTCAGAATATGAAGAAAAGGAATGCATGACTCGGTGTGCAGCTGTGACCATATCCATTCCAATTTTCAATATCACGCATGCGTACGCGGGTTCATGGCAGGGTTTCAGTGAAATTCTTCCGCCTGGAATGTGCACTTCCCAATCTTATTTTGATCTGACGCTTTAGTCTTTCCGTTCCATCATGCTACTAAAACACATTTTCCCTGAGAGCTCCTTAGCTGCCCCTGCTAGCCACTTCACTTAAAATGTAGAGTGGCTGGCGTGTACATGGCATCAGAGTGTGGTCTGCTGCTCCTTCTCCATGTTCTCTAGAAATAGGACATGAGTAACCGCTCCACAGGAACAGTGTAACATGGCCGACATTGGCAGCCAGAAGTGCTTACATGGCAATACTACTGTGCCCTGGGTCTATATGGAAGTGGATTGAACACATGTATTGACTTACAGTATCTGGGTATAAACATGGGGAAATGTTTGAGCAAAGCAGTAAATTTAAGGGAAATTGTTCCTTGTTAAGTCTATGAGGCTGAATGGAAGCTTGCACAGAGTACTAGCATTCCTGCCAGCCATTACAGCTTATTACGATAACTCTATCTTTCCAGGAGATAAAAACCTAGCCTTGTTGCCATTTGCCAGCTATTACTTTCGCTAATTATACTTAACTGCTTCGAGCTTATCTTCACTCCTCCTACACCATTGAGCAGTTATTTTTTTCTTTCCCCTTAACACAAATTAGAGGTGGAGTGGGAGTTGGAAAGGGGGAGACAGATAAACAGCGCAGGCAGAAGTTCATTCAAGTGTTATTGCATTTGTGACTTGTCAAACTGAAGCCTGCTAGGCACCTGCGGTCTGTTCAATGGTTGCAGTTCAGAACGGCATCAACACACATAATGACCTTGTCTCGCTCCTAGTCTTCTGGAGATATTTAGAGAGTGAAAACTCTTCTCGGTGATACTGTCAGGAGTTCAATTTGAATAGTGTGCGCACAAAGAAGGCAGAAGTCATGCTGCTGCTTCACAGTAGATATGTTCCAGTGTTGAGAAAATTGAAAACATGCATGCAGATGTAGAGTCCATCTTTAAAAGTGAA